TATTATTATTATTATTATTATTATTATTATTATTATTATTATTATTATTATTATTATATTATTTATATTATAGCCCAAAAGTTACAAGACATTTCATCCAAACGTTCTGAGGTAAGGGCAAAAAGAGATTTACTTAAGATGAAATATGATCAAACTAAAACACAACTTAGTGATTGTAATGATATGAGAGCAGTTTGTCATTATTTAATGCCAAGTACTTGTAAAGATTTAGATCATAAAATATTAATAGAAATGTCAGATGTGGTAACAAGTCTTTGGACTGGAGCAAATAAAAGACACGTATGTATATTATTATATATTACTTAGAATAATGATAATTAAATAACTATTTTATTTACATTATATTTTTAGGTATGGGATACAATATCAAGTAATCTTAATCATATTGAAGTATCTACATTATGGCATTATTTATATCAGAAATTATCAGAAGATGTGAATGTATTAATTAATTCAGAAACCATGAAATCAATGGACACAGATGAAAAAAATATAAATATTGCTATTGTTAAATTATATGGACAATACATTTCTATGGTTTCTAAACGATTATTACATAATACAAGAGCAAATCATCACGAGCAAAATGTTTTGGAATATATTGAAAAAATTGAAGTATAACATAAATATTAGATAAATATTAAAAATAATTTAAAATTTTAAATTTTATTCTGATTTTAGACAGCTTCAAATAATTCTACAGACATAAGTGATTGGTTAGCATTAACATTAGAAGTTCATAAATTAGAAAATGAACAAAAAAATTTACAAGAAGAAATTGAAAAAATTCAAGATGATATATATGAAAACAACGTGTGTGCATTTGATCTATCACAATTAAGTGTAGAAATTCAAAATGTTGATAGTGAAATTGTATGTTAACAATTCATAATTATTATGATTTATATATATGTATTTTTATATTAATTTTATATTATTTTTAGGCAGAATATATACAAAATATACGACAATCCTTAATTCTTTTAAAATGTGCACCAAGATTTCTTATCCAATCTAAAGAAAAAATAAATTTAGAGTTACAAAAAATAATAACAATGCGGGCTGATGGATATGATTCTACAATGTTAGAAAATGATTTAACTACTGAATTAGATATATTTTATGATATTTTAGATCTTAATGCTTTAAAGAAAGTTATGTTAAAAGGAGAAATTGGAGTTTATAGGTAAAAAGAAATTTTGTATCTAAAATTATAAATTATAATTATAATTAATTTATATAAATATACAATTTAATTTATATAATTTATTTTAGGTATATGAAAAGTTGCTTCAATGAAGCCTGTGTTTCAATTACTAATTCTCAGTTTTCAAATATTAAGTCATATTTTCCATTGATTCAGATACCGATATATTCTTTAATAGAATGTTACAAGAATTTAATTTCCATGTATAAAAAATTCGAAGTTTTAGAAACTGAACAAAATTTAAATTTACCCATGTTAACATATAAAGAAAATAACTATAATACAATTGAACTTTTAAATTTATCAAAGGTTATTAATATGAAAACAAGAACAGAAATTGATAAATTTAATAATATTTTAAATGATTGGTATGTATATATAATTTCATTAATTTTATTAATATTGGTATATATATATATTAATTTTATAACATACAGATATTAATTTTTATTTTATTAACAGGGTAAATCAACCTGTTCAAAAAGTAATGGAAATTATTGACAAAACTGTAGATAATGCTACTTTTTCAGAATGGATTGAACGTTACGATGTATTATTATATATGTTACAAAATTCTACATAATGTTATGTGTATAAATATATTCTATTTTTTTTGTAAAAAATTTGTATTACATAAAATTACAATATATAATAATTTATATACACGATATTATGTTTTATTACATAATTGTATTATATTGCAACAATAATATTATTTTATTATTAGCTAATATGTAATTATATCTAATTAGTAAATTGAATTTCACCATAAATACTATGTAATATTATATAAATATATATATTATATGATACATATATTTCTCGCTCTTTGCGAGAAATAGAATTTTATATATAATATATAAATATAATAATATATATAAATATATATAAATAAAAATATATATAAATATAATAATAAATAATATATGATTAAAATTTCATTGTATTATAAAAAAATTGTATTATAAAGAAATAATTATTTATATTAATTTTCTAAATATACATTTAATATATATATACATTAATCTTTTAAAATTATATATATTCTTAGAATCTTTATTTCTTTTAGGAAATTTCGATATGATATTTTGGTAACAGTTAGGTATAAATAGTAATTCTTTATTACCCTAGTATTTGGAAGTTAGGAAATTTTATTATACAATGCGATACAATAATGAAATAACATTTTATAATTGTATGGTTGCATTAATGGAGATTTTACTTGTATAGTTCATAGCATCGTGTTAAATAATAATTTTATAAAAAGTAAAATAAATCATTTTTTATAATGCAATAATAATAGCATTTTTATGCTGTTAAATATTAAAGAATCTAATTTATTATAAGATAAAATGCTATCAACTGTTTTAAAATCTGTATTTGGTTATGATGATTTTAAAAGTGATATTCAAAAGCAGGCAACCTCTGCTATTTATAAAGGTTTATTAATATTAATATTTATTAATATTAATATCATTTACATATAATAAATATAAAAAATCTATTTAGTCATTTATTTTAAAAATAAATATTATTTGTTTTAAAATAAATTAATAATAAATATTTTTAGGTAAACAAGATGTATTTGTATGTATGCCAACTGGATCTGGCAAATCACTTTGTTTTCAATTGCCAGCATTAATGAAAAAAGATAAAATTACAATTGTTTTTTCACCATTATTAGCTTTAATGAAGGTATGTATTTTATATTATAATTTTATATTATAATGTTTAAAAGTAATTTAAACTAATTATATAATATTAACTTATATTTTATATACATATATTATTATATATTTTATTATAGAATCAAATAGATTTTTTAATTAGCAAAAAAATTAATGCAAGTTCATTGAACTCAAATACATCTTCAAAAGAAAGAAATGCAATAATAAAAGATTTGACATCAAATTCTCCAAAAATCAAATTATTATATGTTACTCCTGAAATGGGAGCACAACAACATTTTCAAGTAAATTATTAATTCATAATTATAATAGAATATTTATTATATTTTTTAAATATTTATATTATTTATTTATTTTATATATTATTTATTATTTTATATATATTTTATTTATTATACTTTACATATTAAATAATTATTGCAATTATTTTTCTATAGGATATAATAGTAAAATTAAAGAAAACAAAAACACTGTCTTATTTTGTTATTGATGAAGCTCATTGTTTGAGTCAATGGGGTCATGATTTTAGACCTAGTTATAGACAACTAGGAATATTTAAAAAATTATGTCCTAATATTCCAATAATTGCATTAACAGCTACTGCTGCAAAGGAGGTAAACAAATTTAAAATGGTGATAAATACTTAAAATTTAGTTATATGAAATATATGTTTACAGGTAAAAGATGATATACTCCAATGCTTAAATATGAAAAATCCTGCAATATTTTCAGTTCCTGTTTTTAGACCTAATCTTTATTATGATGTATGGTTTTTAGAAATATTAGATAAGCCTTTTGAACATTTAAAAAATTTTATTATAGAAAGTCTTGGTTCTCAAGATAAATCCATTCCAAAAGTAAGTCATTGCATATGATACATTTATTTTTATATATAATATATATTAAATTATATTTCAAAATTAATTTTAGGTTAAAAAAGGTTGTGGTATTATTTATTGTAGAAAGAAAGAAGCAACTGAAATAATTGCACATAAATTGTCTAATTCCGGTATACCTACTCTTGCATATCATGCAGGTATATATTATTGAAAATGAAACTAATAATAATAGAAAAATATTAATTACAAATAATTATTTTTGCAGGTTTAAAAAATCAAGAACGTAATGAAGTTCAAAATAAATGGACATCTGGTGAAGTACCTGTCATTGCAGCAACATGTAGCTTCGGAATGGGTGTAGATAAAGGATCTGTTAGGTAAATTAGTTTATTAAGAAAATAAATTTATAAATGTTATTTTTATTAATATGTAATATAATTTTGTATATAGATTTGTAGTACATTGGACAGTTCCTCAAAATATAGCAGCATATTATCAAGAATCTGGTAGAGCTGGCAGAGATGGTAAACCAGCATTTTGTAGAATCTATTTTAGTAATGAAGAATATGCGCCTATTGCATTTCTTATTAAGGAAGAAATTACAGAAAAAAATTCAGAACTTATAAAATTAAGATGGAAAAATTTTGAAAAAACTGTTTCTTACTGTCTTGAAACAAAGTAAGAATTATTATATTGCTTATAAATATTTTTTTTCAACATACAAATATTTAATGCATTTTATAGATGTAGACATGCGGTATTTTCTAAATATTTTGGAGATAGTCCACCGCAATGTAAGGATAGATGTGATGTATGTAAAGATAAAGATATTGTTCAAACAAGAATATCACAATTTGAAATGTCTCAAACTAGATCACGAATATCTAAATCTAATAATAATTTAGATGGCTTTGCTTTACCAAAATATGATAATGAGTAAGTAATATATTGAAAAAATATTAAGATTTTATATATTTTTTACTATATTATATTAGTCTTAATTTCTTATTTATTTTTAAGATATTGTGAAAATGAATATGATGAGAAAACAGTTTCAAGAGAAAAACTTTTATCCGAAAGTAAACGAGAAGCTAAAGAATTAATTGAAAAACAATTTGCTATTCGAAGAAATAATAGTAAAAACAATGAGGTAAAAAACTAGATTTATATATATTTTTGTTTCTTTCTTTTTTTGTATTATATTTTTCTTTTTCAGTTAAAAAAACAAAATCGTGAAGATGCTAAAAAATCTCATGTACGTGCAGCTGATAGTACTGATATAAAAATAAAGGGTTTAGCTGTCCAAATTCGAGAGCATTTTTATATTCAGTTAAGATCAGCATTGCTGGATAATTATGAGAAGATATTTCCTGAATCTAAAGGACAGATTCAAGAAAATGATATGCATAATGTAGCATACAATCTTGAATATAAAATTTTATGTAATAGTAAAATTGCAAATAAATATAAATTTGATATGTCTAAATTGGTATGTAACATATTTTATATTTATAATTCAGTTACATATAGTTTGAATTTAATAAATTTTGATAAATATAGGTTTCTTCTGTACGGAAATGTACCAGCACTAATGAGCTTCATGAATATTTACATGATTTTAATATAAACACCAAACAGAATATACAATCAGAATATTTTCATGAATATAATAATAAAGAAGAAAAAAATGAAACTAATTTAGAGCAGAATATAGAAGGTAGAAATATATTAAATCAGCAAATAAATACGAATATTTCTTGTCCTACTTTTAAGACTGCTTTAGAACTTAGAAGAAATGAAAATAAAATTGATAATACTAAGAAATATATATTTGAAGCAAGTATTTTACAAGATGATAATAAAGTCAATATAATAGAATCAAAACAAAATGTTAATAAAAATTGTTTTCTTTTTGATAAAAAAAATAATATTGCAAAAGATAATGAACACACTATAAAAAAAGATACGACTAATAATTTCGAAATGTTAAGTGGTTTTACATGCGCTCGAAAAATGTATGAAAAAAATGAAATATTAAAAAACCAAAATAAAAAATTACAAAAATCTTCAAAGGAATTTCCGAAAAAAAATATAAAAAATAAAAAAGAATCTCCCATAAATAAATCAGTTTATGAACAAATTTTATTACAATCTGCAAAATCAAATTTCGTTACAATAGAAAATAATGAAAGTAACAATAGTATAAATACCAAAGATCTTCAAAAATATCAAAGTAAAAAGCGATTTAGAAATGTAGATTTATTTGAAAATAATGTAGATATAGAATTAAATAAAAAAATGAAATTTGATGAAAAAAAATCTTTTGAAATTTTAAATAATGAGAAACAAGATAATAACAGAAACGAAATTGGTACAAAGAAAATTGTGAATGATCTTGATGAAAATAGAAGTGATAACGAAAAAACTGAAGATTTTAAAACTAAAAAATTATTTACAACAATAAAAGAAGAAAAAGAAGAAATATCAAAAACGAAAAACATAATAACAGAATCTATAGAAAAAAAAACATCTTTGAATGAAAAACATAATAAAAAGAATGATTTAAAACAATACAATAAAAATAAAAAATTACTAGTACCTGCAGATAAAGCTACTCAATTTAAAACTGTAGAAATTTTAAAATCATATTTAATGAAATATTATCGATCTGAACGTATTCCCGATCGAACAACATTTTCAAAAACATGTAGAAAAATACATCATACTCTTCTTGCTCAAAAAATATTTGGTAAAGTATAATTTAAAAAAGTTGAATCTTTTTATCGTTATTTAATTAATTTAAATTAATGATAAATGTTTCAGATGAAGAGGGAATACAACAATTTGTTACAAAATATATGACAAATTAATAATTTTTATTGTAATATCATTTGTATATATATTTATATAAGATTATAAATTAATTTATAAATTTTTATTTATTATATATATTCTTTAAATACAATTTTGTATCGTAATATTTTATTATAAATTAAATAAGAATATATAAATTAAAGCTCAAATTTCCTAATTTTAATTATTAATATTTTTTTATTGTTACATTTATTCTTAGAATAAATGTAGAATTTATTCTTTTTTATATGTGATAATGTACGTTATTATTTATATGTATTCAAAATTTAACTTGTATAATTGTATTTATATATTATATTATGTATATAAAAATTTGGTAAAATATAAGTTCTATTATTTTATATTTTATATATCATAATATTAATTTGATTTTTTAATTTATTTATTACAATTTAAATAAAATATAAATCATTAA